TCTTTCATATCTCTTATTTGCCTCGTTCCTTTTTTTACTCTATTTTTTTGTTTCTTTAGCTTAATCTTTTTTTTGTCTTCTATTTATCTTTTCATAACATTTTTCTCTTTCATCTTTTCCTTTTTACCATTTTCTTTTTCCTAATCATTATTCTTATTTTTCCTCTCCCTTGTTCTTTTCAGAATCATATATCTTCCTATTTTCTCTTCAAGTATTCTTTTAATTATTATTACTTTCTTTCTTTTTCATTTATTATTCTTGTTCTCTTTTCTATTTCTTAATTCCCATTTCTTTTGTGGTTGTTTTTGCTGTTGTTGTTGGGATCTTTCATATGGTTTTGTTTGTTTCCTGTATTGTTTTATTTAGCCCTATAAGCACCTGTAGAACAGCTTGCATGATGTGGTTGGGGTTGAGCCTCACAAGCCAGCCTGAGAGGAGATCCCACCCACGAATGGGACAACAACAATCAAAACCCAATTACAACAGGATTGTCCAAGTAACCCACGAAAAGGTCACTTCAAGAGCATCCAGCTTAGGAGTTCAAAGAGACTGCACTACTGGGTCCCACAGTACATTTACTACAAAAGGGCAATCCACAAAGACTGGGTGTCATAGCAGTTCTATTTAATACATAGAAACAAACACAAAGAGACAACTAAAATGGGGAGACAAAGAAAAAACCCAAAATGAAAGAAAAGAAAGAATCTCCAGAAAAAGACAGAGGAAAGCAATTTATCAGACATAAGCGTTCAGACTAATGGTTATAAGGATGCTCAAGGAACTTAGTGAGAACTACAAGGAATTAAATGAGAACTACAAGGAATTAGTGGGAACAACATCAGCATGAAAAAATGACATAGAAACCATGAATAAGAACAGGTCAGAAATGAAGAATACTATATTTGACATTAAGAATGCAATGAAAGGAATTAAAATCAGGCTTGATGAAACACAGATCAAATCACGAATTTGAAACACAAGGTAGAGGCAAGAGAAACCAAGATGGCAGCATAGGTAAATGTAATACTCGCATCCTCCCACAACCACATCCAAATTACAACTACAATACAGAACCACCATCATTCAGAACCACCAGAAATCTGGCGGAAAGGAAGACCTACAATTAGAGAATTAAAGAAGAAAGCATGTTGACACTAGTAAGAAGGCAGGAGGCATGGAACGGACTGGTCCAACACCTACGTATGGCATGTTTTTGATCAGAAGGGATATCTTGGCTGAGGAGGCTTACTGTGAGGAGCAAGGCTTACTGTGAGGTTTACCACACCAGAACCATCAGTCCAGAGTACCAGTGTCAGGAGGTGAAGTTCCCATAACTTAGGGCTGTAAAAGCCAGTGGGGAGCCCAGCTTGTGTGGTTGAATGGCTGAGCATCCATTTATGAACCAGGAGGTCACCATTCAATTCCCAGTCAGGGCACATGTCCGGGTTGTGGGCTCAATCCCCAGTAGGGGATATGCAGGAGGCAGCAGGTCAGTGATTCTTTCACATCTTTGATGTTTCTCTTTCTCCCTCTCCCTTCCTCTCTGAAATCAATAAAAATATGTTAAAAAACAAAACAAAACAGTTGGAAACCCAGGCAGTTCTTTTTAAAGGGCCCATAGACAGACTTAGTTGGACTCACTCCTTCTGAGCTTCAGTTCTGGGGCAGCAGCATGAAAGCATCCAGGAACATATGGGGAGGAATTAAATTGTCTGGCATCAGGGCAAGAACTGGGAGGCAGCTTTCCCCCAGACAAAAGTGCTGGCAGAGGTCATTATTCCTCTGCTGAGACCTCCTCTCCCACAAAGCTGACTGGCAGGCACCATATCTGAGTCCCCATCAACCTGACCCACCCTGTTTGCCTCACCCTGGAGATTCCCTGAGACCCGCTCCACCCAATTTGCAGATTCACCCAAGGTGTTTTCCATATGAATGGCTTGTCCTGGTTTGGGCTTCAGATTTCACTAAAATCTCTTAAACAACTAGCAGCTGGACTCAGTATGCCCCATACTTCTGGATAAGTGTCCTGTGGCTAGGCACTAGCAGCAGCCTGCCTTGCCTCACAGTTTGGCCTCTCCTGGGGGTAACAAAAGAAGAAGAGAGCAAAAAATTGAAAACCTATTTGAATAAATAATGACCAGGTGAAAGAAACAGACTTACAAGTCCAGGAAGCACAGAAAGTCCCAAACAAGATGAACCAACGAGGCCCAAACCAAGACACATCATAATTAAAATGTCAAAGGTTAAAGACAAAGAATCTTAAAAGCAGCAAGAGAAAATCAGTTACCTACCTACAAGGGAGTGCCCAAATGACTGTCAGCTGATTTCTCAAAAGAAACTTTGCAGGCCAGAAGGGAATGGTAAAAAATATTCAAAGTGATGAAAAGAAAGGACCTATAACCAAGATTAGTCTACCCAGCAAAGCTCTCGTTTAGAATTGAAGGTCAGATAAAGAGCTTTACAGACAAGAAAAAGCTAAAGGGGGTGTGACCAGCTGCAAACAGCCATCATCCCCTGACCCAGGCTGGCCAGGCACCCAAGCGGGACCCCCACCCTGATCCAGGACACCCTTCAGGGCAAACCAGCCGGCCCCCACCCATGCACCAGGCCTCTATCCTATATAGTAAAAGGGTAATATGCCTCCCAGCACTGGGATCAGTGGAGCAGCGAGGCCTCCTAGCACCGGGTTCAGCAGAGCAGTGAGGCCTCTTAGCACCGGGATCAGCTGAGCAGTGAGGCCTCACTGCCCCTGTGTCAAGCAGAGCCGCGAGGCCTCCCAGCACCGAGATCAGCAGAGCCGCAAGGCCTCCCGGCCTGGGATCAGCAGAGCCACAAGGCCTCCCGAATCCGGGATCAGCGAAGCTGCGAGGCCTCCTGGCCCCTGGAGCAGCGTGACAAGGGGCAGCGCCCAAACCCCCTGATCGCCCTGCGGCTCTGTGTGTGACAGGGGGCAGCGCCCCAACCCCCTAATCGGCCGGCTCTGTATGTGACAGGGGTGGCGCCACAACCCCCTGATCCGCCCTGCTCTGTGCGTGACAGGGGGTGGTGCCGCAACCTCCCCATCGACCCTGCCTTGAGTGTGACAGGGGGCGGCGCCCCAACCCCCCAATCGGCCCTACCCTGAGCGTGACTGAGGGGGGCATCGCAACCTCCTGATCCGCTCTGCTCTGTGCATGACAGGGGGCGGCGCCCCAACCCCCCAATCGGCCCTACCCTGAGCGTGACTGAGGGGGGCATCGCAACCTCCTGATCCGCTCTGCTCTGTGCATGACAGGGGGCGGCGCCCCAACCCCCCAATCGGCCCTACCCTGAGCGTGACTGAGGGGGGCATCGCAACCTCCTGATCCGCTCTGCTCTGTGCATGACAGGGGGCGGCGCCCCAACCCCCCAATCGGCCCTACCCTGAGCGTGACTGAGGGGGGCATCGCAACCTCCTGATCCGCTCTGCTCTGTGCATGACAGGGGGCGGCGCCCCAACCCCCCAATCGGCCCTACCCTGAGCGTGACTGAGGGGGGCATCGCAACCTCCTGATCCGCTCTGCTCTGTGCATGACAGGGGGCGGCGCCCCAACTCCCCAATCGGCCTTGCTCTGAGCCCGACCAGGGGCTGCACCTAGGGATTGGGCCTGCCCTCTGCCACCCGGGATGGGCCTAAGCCAGCAGGTCGTTATCTCCCGAGGGGTCCCAGACAGTGAGAGGGCACAAGTGGGGCTGAGGGATACCCGCCCCCCCGCCAGTGCACAAATTTTTGTGCACCGGGCCTCTAGTATACAAGATAAACTCAAAATGGATAAGACTTAAATCAAAGTTGGGAAACCATAAAAATCCTAGAAGAAACCATAAGTAGCAAAATCTCAGACATCTCTTGTAGAAATATGTTTATGGATACATCTCCTAGGGCAAAGGAAATTGTTTTAAGGATAAAATAAACAAATGGTACTATGTCAACATTAAAAGCTTCTGCACAGCAAAAGAAACCATCAACAAAGCGAGAAAGGAGCCCAATGTATCGAAGGACGTATTTGGCAATGATACACCTAACGAAGGGTTAACACCCAAAATATATAAGGAACTCATACAACTTAACAAAAGGAAGACCAACAATCCAATTAAAAATGGACAAAGGACCTAAATAGACACTTCTTCAAAGTGGACACACAGAAGGCCAAGAGACGTGAAAAAATGCTCAATGTTGCTGATCATCAGAGAGATACAAATTAAAATGACAATGAAGTATCACCTCACACCTGTCAGAATGGCTACCATCAAGAAATCAACAAATGACAAGTGCTGGCGAGGATGTGGATAAAAGGGAACCCTAGTACTTCTGGTAGGAATGCAGACTGTTGAAGCCATTATGGAAAACAGAATGAAGTTTCTTTAAAAATTTAAAAATGAAACTGCCATTTGACCCAGCAATCCCAACCTTGGCAATATATCCTAAGAATCCTGAAATATCAATCAGAAAGAATATATGCCCCCTTATGTTCATAGTACAGTTATTTACAATAGCTAAAACCTGGAAACAGCTTAAGTGCCCATCAGTAAATGAGAGAATAAAAGAGCTGTGGTACATTTACACATTGGAATACTATATAGCTGTAAAGAAGAAGGACCTCTTACCCTTTGAGACAGCATCGATGGACCTGGACATTATTATGTGAAGTGAAATAAGTAAGTCAGAGGAAGATGAATATCATATGATCTCATTTATATGTGGAATCTAATGAACAAAATAGGTCCAGAGTCATGGATGCATGGAACAGACTGACAGATATCTGAGGGAAGTGGGGAGGGGAGGGCGGGAAGAGATCAACCAAAGAACTTATATGCATATATGCATAGCCCATGGACACAGACAATAGTGTGGTGAAAGTCTGGGTGGGGTGGGAGCTGGGTAGAGGGGGGCAAAGGGGGAAAATGGGGGACATCTATAATACTCTCAACAATAAAAATAAATTTTAAAAAGTACAAAAAACAACTTATCCTCTCTTACTTACCAATATTATAAAGTGCTTCAGTACAAGAAGAATCATTTCTCAGAGCCTCTTTATAGAATTCAGCTGCCTTCTCATAATCACCATTTGCAAACACTGTATTCCCTTTGTTAGTAAGAGCAGATGGATTATATCTATCAGAGTTTACAGCTAAATCTGCATAGCTGCTGGCTTGTGCAAAGTCATTTTCCTAAAGCACAAAACATATACAAATTATCTGAAGTTCATCAAATATTTTTTTTTTGAGATTACAGACAGGAAAAACAGAAACAAGTATTTTACATATCTTGGTTCTGATAGGCTGATTTGTACTCATCAGCACTTTCAACTACCTAAGTGTCTTATGATTGATGTCTCCACGGTCTCATGTTTTGAATAACATCACTATATGTAGATGCTTCCATTTCAAATGCCCAAATTTCATGTCATTGTTTACTGCACACCATGCTTCTTAAAACTCAAGTCCTAAAGTAGTTATGAAGGCATCACTGTCCGTCTGTCCTGATCTAACTGGGTGGGTCACCTACTAGGTCCTACATTTCTAGCACTCGATTGTCGGCACTCCTTCATGCTATCTCGCTGCCAAGTGCTCCATCAGGACCCTGCCATCATTCATGTGAGCCACGGGGACCTCTCAGTTCTTAGGTGGTGTGGCCTTTGGTGCCCTATTGGCTTAGCTAAGCCAGGAGCCACAGTTCCCAGAACACCTTTACCTGTGTGGCTCTTGTCCAGAGTTGGCTGAAGGGAACTTCTAGAATATGAAGCAGCAGCCTTCCTCTCTGCGGGTCCTTTTCTGGCCATCAAATGCTTGTCTGATACAGAAATGCTGGGGTTCTAGCTTGTCCTCATTCACAACTACTCCACACCTGACTCTTCTTCCTGCCTACACTGTCCCTCCTGACAATGGTGACCCAGATCCATGCTAAGTCTTGGCAGTGCACCCAAAGGAGGCAGCTGCTCCATGAGTCCCCCTTGGGTGGCTTCTGGACATGCTAGGCAATTCACTGACTGAATGGTAACCTCTGCTCAGATCCCCAAACACCCCTTCTTCTCCTTAACCCCCACAGCATCTCCACTACTGTGCATGTTCTAAATCCTATATCCCTTCTCTCATAACACTCCCTGATGGAATTTCTGAAAAGTTGAGATATATTTCAAATATTTACCCTTTAAAAATGTACAGTTCAGTGGCATTTATATATTTCATGTCTTGGTGACAAGAGATCCTCAAAGAAATGGCTGCAGGGCAGAGATCAAATCAAGGATGTGGCTCTATCATCTTTGGAAACATTTCATATTTAAGATAGTGCCTAACAGAGCCAACCTTCTCTCTCAGGTAGTATGCTTAGGACTCTGTTCCACAGCAGCCTCATACATCTACGGTAAGTAGAAAAGGGTCTGCCTTGAAAAGAATTATGGATGTGGCTTTGGGGGAATAAAGAACACCCAAATAAGATGTATAGAAAACTTCCAAGTTTTTAAGGGAGTTGGAATAACTAAAGTGTTGCCAGCTTGCATTAAAGGGACAGACACAGAACAAAATGAAAAAAGGCCTCTGGGTCCCCAATTTTTCTGGGCAAAAAGCAGGCTAAGAGAGTTAACCAGCTGCAAACATAGGTTGTTGTTGATTTTTTTCTGTAAAAGTAAGGTGCTCTTGGAGGGCAGAGCCAAGAGCCAGAGAGACCAAAGGATTGGGGACTACCCACCAGGGATCAGAGCTGGGCCCCCATCAAAGATCACTCTCTTTTCCCATGTTCAGGGGGCACTGACCACAAGTGCTTAGCTGGGTTTCAGAACTGCTAGGAACTAATGCCTCCATCCCACCCCTTTTGGATAGGAGTATCTATTACAGTTTTCCTAGCCTTATCTCACCATGGGTTATTAAGTGTATGGGGCAGATTACATTTTTTTTTTTTTGTTCCCTGATCATTAAATCAAGAGGATCTGTGTTTGATAAAGCTCAATCTCTATCTAGACCTTATGCAGTGGTTGGCCTTTCACTACGATGATGAGACTATGAGACTGTTGGGAGGGGTATGTACATTTTGCATGTGGAAAGGATGTGAATAACTGGGCCTGGAATGCAGGCAGTGATACACTCACTGTTAAAACAATGGCCCCAATGGATCACACTGACCAGTCTTCATGCCCCCGTATGTTTCTCTCCCATGTTCATTTTGCCCAATAAGATGACAACAAATTCAATGCACAAGGGAACTTGATAAACACCTGTGCACTTGGGTCTCCTCAATGGACCCTATCCCATGTAGGAAGTTTAGGCTCTCCTGCTAGAGAAGCATTGTGAAGGACTGAGATGCCTGCCGACATTGGGCTTAGGGCTTCAACACATGATTCTGGGGGCACACAATTCAGTTCATAGCATCTATTATGAAAACTTATTATTCACAGAGACAATCATCAAATTTTATCTCTAATCTGACTTCCTGTCTGAGTTCAGTGTTCCACAGGCCTAATTGGCCATTTGAATTATATCACCATCACTACAAAAATTTTAAAAATATATTTTTAAGAACAAACTTGGCATCTTTCCCCCTAATCACACACTCCTCTGGACATGCCCCTGGCACCACTCTCATGCCAACAGAATAAAACACTGGGGTCCTTCCTCACCAGGGGTTTTATCTCCTTTCCCTCTTAACACATGAGGGCCGTAACATCTTTCCACCATAACAGAGGTTCTATGTGGCAACAATTCTCAATGTGCACAAACCAGAAGCTCTGAGAGGGACTGAAAGTGTAGTAGAATCAAACACAATGATCCTAAGTACCCCATCCCTCCCAGCGTTCTTGCCTCTGTGCTTTGTTTACTCCCTTAGTTTCCACACAAATGTCCCCTTCTCTTTTATCTATAGTCTGACTTTTAAGATCCAACTTCTCTCTGGGATTGTCCCCCAAATCCCTAAATTAAAATGCTATTTGCTTCCTCTGAATTTCTAAAGCATTTAGTATCTCACATTAATTTGTTATTCTCTACTTTCAACCAACCTTTCTTCCTTCCTACTCTACCCACCTGCCACCTTCACTCTAAATTAAGAATGTTCCGTTTTTAGGAAGCTTTCAGCCTTTTGGTATTCCCCATGATTGGCATCCATAGATGTTCAACTTCTGCTTGTTACAGATGACACTTTGACCTTACATAAGTCATATAACCTAAGATGTCACTTTTGTTATTACTAGGATCGAACTGAAATGTGTCTCCAGCTCATCTCCCAGGTCTACACTGTACAATTTCATGATGTGATGTTTCCACAACTTTTCACCCTCCCTTCTCCTCCTGAGATGGTCCTCTCACTCATGCCCATAAACTCAACCCAGAACTTTTCATGACCTGGCCCTCCATATACGCCATACCACTGACATTCTGCATGTCCTCTTGTGAGCCTCTCCTTAGGCCAGCTCCTCAGGCAGAAATTTAGCAACATGAAAATACCACATTATCAACTCTTAGTTGTAAAAACATAAAACTTACCAAATAATACAGGAATGAGAGGTTGGTTGCAGCTGCACTTTTCACTCTACTGTCCTTTTTTTCAAACATTTTCAAAGTCTCTATAGCCTAGAAATAAAATATCTGAAAGTTATTACCAATGTAATATGACAGTGTTCAGGTTTACAGTTGGGGCAAGATTAGTATCTGAACTGTAGGAGCAGGGACTGACAAAAGACAGTTTCATTAATATGTTTTAAAAAACAGATGACAAATTGAGAATTTCATTTGAGAATTAAAATTTATAAAAAATAAAATTACACTAAAAATACAATAACAAAAATTAAGAATGGCCCTAGCTGGTTTAGCTCAGTGGATAAAGCGTCGGCCTGCAGACTGAAGAGTTCCCGGTTTGATTCCGGTCAAGGGCACATGCCCAGGTTTGAGTTTGATCCCCAGTAGGGGGCGTGCAGGAGGCAGCCAATCAGTGATTCTCATCACTGATGCTTTTATTTCTCTCTCCTGCTCCCTTCCTCTATGAAATCAATTAAAAATATTTATGTATTTACAAAATAATAAAATTAAGAATGCAATAGATGGGTTTAGTTCCATATTAGACACAGCAGAAGAGAAAGTAAATATCTAGCCTGTGAGTCTTGTTACACAGTTTCGTTTGCCCTGCATAATGGGGTGGGCGGTAAGGTTTTACCTAAAAGACATGATCCAATTTGCTTTTTGTAAAATAATTCTAGAATTTCTGCTTCTGGCTATTAGAAACTAGCCAATAGAAGACCATTCTCCTACAGAGAACAATTAGAAAATTAAATAAAATATTGAAAATATTTTATAAAGGCACTGGAGAGCTACAGAGGCAATCAGGATTTGAAGATCAAACAAGATCCCAGAAAATGTTCCAACTAAATACTAGTAAAATAAGCACAGAAAAATAAAAGGCTAAAAAATGTTCTTAGCAAAGACCATAAGAGACATATAGGAACAGAGTGAAATCTCATATAAACATGTTAGAGTAGGCAGTTAGAAAGATATGAGGTGGGAGAGGCAGCTGGGGCTTGGAGAAAATATGTGAGAAGCGACAAACTGAAAATAGACAATGGAGGTGGCAGGCCTCTATGTGAGGGGCAAAGATTTAGAGCCCTCCAGGATGTGGTCTAACTGGTGGATAGCACCTAGATGAAGAGCCTTATAACTTATAGATACACTAGAGGCCCGGTGCACAAAAATTTATGCACTCGGAGGGGGAGGGGGGTCCCCCAGCCCGGCCTGTGCCCTCTCCCAGTCTGGGACCCCTTGGGAGATAACACCCTGCTGGCTTAGGTCTGCTCCCGGGTGGCAGAGGGCACGCCCAATCCCTAGGTGCAGCCCCTGGTCAGGCTCAGAGCAGGGCCGATTGGGGAGTTGGGG